GTTGCATAGGTAAACTGAGATGAATGCTTCGAACTGAGATAGATAGATAAATAGGTTTTCATTTAGTGGAATATTCAATTCTCTTGTAGTTATTCATCATCACACACTGAAAATTCGTCGTCAAGTACAGCTGTCAAGTTGGCCGCCCAAATTGAGTCGGAAGAAGTTGTAAGTGACAATAGCGCGAGTAGTGCGAATGGCATGAATGGTGCAAATGATGCTGATAGCAGCACTGAGCAGTCGAACAGCAGCAGTACGGCTTTACAAGAACAAGGTCAAATCAATGGACCATCATTGGAAAGCAGTAGTAATGATATTTTCATTGAGAATCAGTTGATTTCAAAAGGGAACGCAGAAAGTGTTTATGATCGAGGTAGAAATATGACATTGAATTGGGCTGTTTCACAACCGAATCGTTTGCTCGATAACGTTAACGAAATGGCAAAACGAGTCGTCGACGTTGTAGGCGGTTTAGGCGTTCAGGTGTGTTTTTTCTTAACTGAATTTTCACGTTTCAAATGTTTGCTGTTTGTTTAATTCGTGGAAAAATTATGTGCACAGTTATATTCTTCATGCAAACATTCTTTGGCAGTATCCAAAATGAATAAGTGATAAATAATGATATATAGTAGTAAGTGGTGATAAATAAGTGAAAAATAATGATAGATAAGTGGTAAATAATGATTAGTAAGCGATAGGTAATGATTAATGATGATAAATAAGAGATAAATAAGTGATAATAAATTATAAATAAGTGATAAGTAATGATAAATAAAGATAGTAATGCTAAATTTGTGGTCAATAATGATAAATGTGTTTTGTAGACAGAGAATGGTACATATATAGCACCAGCCGTATCACCTGTCTCAGCCGCACCCTCGATGGCATCAGATAATCTTCCTTACGAGCAAGTCGGTATTCTCGAGGAGGTCACTGTTCGTCGAACCAAAAAAGCGCCTGGGAAGAAGAAGAAATTATCGTATGAGATGGATGATGATGCCGACGAACTGCTTAAGAAATTCGACTCAATCTCGTCGTATACATCCGAAGATGTGAGTTCGATTGGTGAGGAAACATTGAGGGACATTCGTAAAGGTGTGCAGTCTACTTCAGTTGTTCAATTTTTTGCAGTGTGAATTTTTTGAGACATTTGGACTTTTGAGCCTGAATTTAGGTACTTCATCAGATGACGATTAGATTCAATTTGTGAATTTACAAGGTCAAATACTTACAAGAATTGCATTTAAGTGCTTCTTGATGCAACCAATTCATCACTCTCAGACGTTCAATCAACCAGTGAACAGGAAGAAAAACATGACGAGACCGAAACGAAAATGACGGAATATTCAACGGATGCTAGCGATGAAGAAATTGCATCATCACGAGAGGTAAGTATTATACGTGATGATGCATTCAGTGATCTCTGATTACTTCATTTGAGCATTCTTTGCCTTCCTATAAAGCGAATAATTTCCTGAAGTTGAAGCTTCTCGTATCAATTCACTTACCTCGAAATAAGTATGTTTCAGCCTAAGTTTCATGTGCTTAGTCGACCACTACTTATGTGTATATCTTGTAAGATTCGTTTCCACTCTACCTCTTTCGTTTTTAATACTTTCCTGATGGAATGTTCGTCGGCACATCTAAGTTCGTAGCATTTCTCGCAAATTGAAATTCCTGCAAAATGGCATTTTGCATATGGTTTTATTTTTAACTTCTTATATTTGCTACTTGAAGAATGCAAAAATGGTTTCATCGAGTGCAGAACCGGACAATTCACCGTTAGTATCAGATGTACAAGGTTTGCTTCTGTTTAATATTGTACTGGTTTTTAGTTAGAACTGAAATTTCACACATGACTCTGTCCAGCCAACAGACACTGATACACTTGTTTTGAATGACAATTTCGAATTGAGAAATTTTTATTTAGAAGGTGTTTATTGAGAAGTTAGCTGGAAAGGAAATGGAAGCAGTTTATACCGCTAAAAATTAATGAATCAATTTAGAACGAAGCAAAATCGACGAATCGAAAAAAGTGGGTAGTGAGAATACAGAAGAAGATTTATCGCAGAAGAATGGTGAAGAATCCCGAGAAATTTGTGATTCGAATGAATCTTCTTCAAATGCTTTCGAAAAGCTGATGAAACGAGCGCTCTTGAACAAGTCCACTCGTTTCACTGTAAGTATTCAACGGAATTTTTATGAATTCCAGAGTTTGGCTGATATTAATCAAGTGAACAATGCGACCTTCAGGGCATAGTCACTTGACATAGCGATAAATGACACTGCTCTTTCGTCTCCCAGAAAAAGAAGTTTGAAGCATACGTATGCAGTTAGCATCTCTCTAATGTAACGCATTATATTTTAC